TGATTAGAGGCAGAGATGTAAGAGGGGGCCGGCAAGGGCCCAGCAGGAACCAGCAGCCAAGAATGACTTAATTGGATAAAATGTCTAATGACAAACCAGTGCCCCACAGCAAAGCTTCCTGGCCCCAACCCCAGGCTCGGTCTGAGCCATGTGTGGTTTCAACCTTTGTCCTTGCTAACTCCCAGGAGTTACCCTTGTATTGTCCTCTCAGTCATGCAATAATTTAGCACTTGACCTGACGCATTTGCTGCAGAAGGTCAAGGACTGCAGTCTTAGGTATGGATTGAAGCTCCACATCAAGAAAACAAAGATTCTTACCATTGGGCCAATTGGCAACACCATGATAGATGGAGAAGAGATTGAGGTTGTTAACAATTTCAGCTTGCTCGGCTCCACAATCAACACTCTTGGCACCAGCAGTCAAAAATTCAAAAGATTAATTGCTCTGGGGAAGACTGATGTTAGAGACATTTCAAAAGTGCTGAAGAGCAACAATGTCAGTTTGGAGACAGATATGCCTGATCTAGGCCATGGTCTTCACAATTACTTGCTATGCATCAGAGAGCTGGACAATGACCAAAGACGAGAGAATTTATGCCTTTGAGTTGTGGTGTTGGAGAAGAGTATTGAACATACCATGGACTGCTAAGAGAACAAACAGGTCTGTCCTGGAAATGGTGAAATCAGGCTGCTCCTTGGAGGCAAGGATTTTGAAGCTCCATCTCACATACTTTGGGCATATGGGCAGGAAGGACAAGTCCCTGGAGAAGGCCATCATACTTGGAAGGGTGGAAGGACAGTGCAGGAGAGGAAGATGCTGCATGAGATGAATTGACACAGTAACTGGGTTAATGGGAGTAGATGTGTTGGTGACAGTGAGATTGGCTCAGGATAGAGCAGAATTCAGAACTATTGTACATAGGGTCACTATGAGTTGCAGGTGACTTGATGGCACAAAACAATTGTGCTAAGCATCAAAGATAACACATTTGAAGAAGCAGGGTTGAGTCCTGGGATCTCAAGTCTTCATGGGCAGCAGGACATAGTCAGAATCCCAGTGGATACTCTAGAGAGACCCATCCGTGTCTAAGAGGTGTGGAGTGGGGTGGACAGGGCTTGAGAAGGGTACAGGAGGAAGGATGTATCATACTGAGGAAGGCCACAGGTGCAGGTTATCACATCCACCTCTCTTTTGTGGTCCGTTTCCCATGTCCACTGCCATTGAGTCTGAGAAGGCCATCTTGCTTGGAAGAGTAGAGGAACAGTGCAGGAGAGGAAGACCCTGGATGAGATGGATTGCCACAGTAACAGGGTTAGTGGGGGTAGGTGTGTTGGTGACAGTGAGACTGGCTCAGGATAGATTATCTGAGGCTAAACATTTTAAGGGAAGAGATTGCCTGTCTTTCTCCCTTGGAGAAACTTGTGGATTCAATCTGTCAATCTTTTGGTTTCATATATCACCACGGATACTTGTCTGTCTGTCTGTCTCACCTACGTGCATATACATGCCTGATAGATGATATTGGATACTAGTTGGAGTAACAATATGAGGCACTTCTTTGGGACAAAAATAATTTGGAAATACAGGGTGGGTTTTATGTCACTTAGAATAGGATTTATGACTGAAGTCTAGAAATAGCTACTCACTGGCCTGTGGGTGACCACTTTCTAATTCTGTGCTCCTAGTAGACATTGCTAATAGATCATGACAGTCTTTCAGAGGCACTGACAGAGCCTCTGGATTCTCAAAGTGTTCCTGATGGTCATTAATTGATGGGAGATGGCAACTGAGATGAATTGAAGGTGTCTGCTTCTTTTTCTGTCTTCACCAAAGCCAGTTGGAACTCTAAATAAAAATATCCTCTCTGACACCAGCTGCAAATGCAGCACTTCTCCCTCCAACCCACATGGCCAGAGGTAGGTTAGATCCCCCAAAGGGCCTCCAACTCTGCCCACGACTTCAGCCAGGCAATAGCTTGGGGTCCCCACACACTTCACTTCTGGCGCACTGGACACAAATTTAGGAATTTCCATCACTCTCTGTTGTTGATGTTGTTAGGAGGTGTCCAGGCAAAATCGACTCATAGTGAACCCGTGTGACAGAATATTACTGCCTCGTAGGATTTCCTACTCTTAATTGTTACAGAAGCAGATCTCTAGATCCTTTCCCATGGAGTCTTTGGGAGGGTTTTGAACTGCAAACCCCTTTTGTTTAGCAGTAAAGTGTTTTAACCATTGTGTCATTAAGGTTTCTTTACACTAGGATTTGCTAATTCAGTAAAATGACTCACATAATTCAAGGACGACTATAGATGACAGCAAAAAGGATACAGATGAAGAGACTTATAGGATGTGATCCATATGAAGGGTTCTCAGTACAGAGCTTCCATGTGCTAGCAAAGGACCCTTATCTTTGACCCGGAAACTCATTAGGCTTCAGTGTCTAGAGATTTTATTGGAGTTCTATTATACAGGCAATCCATTGCCCTCTTGTCAGAAATGGCTGACTCTCCAGCAGGTTTTGTGAGGCTGTAAATTGCACGAGAGGAGATTGCCCAGTAGAGGGACTGTACTCTAGCTAGCTGTTTGATCTGCCAGCAGCTCCACAGGAGCTGGAGGATCAGCTATGAGTCAGTTCCAACTCCGTAATAATGACTGATTATACAGGCAAGAAGCCCTAGTGGTACAGCAGTTAAACGCTGCTATGTATCTGAGCAATATTTGTTCCTATCCCAAAGGAAGGTGACCCAACAGAATGTGGAAACTACAGAACAATCTCACTGATTTCACATGCAAGCAAGATTTTACTGAAGATTATCCAAAAACGACTGGAACAGCACATCAACAGAGAACTACCAGAAGTCCAGGCTGGTTTCAGAAGGGGTCGTGGTACTAGAGATATTGTAGCTGATGTTAGATGGATCTTGGCTGAAAGCAGGGAATACCAGAGGAATGTCTATCTGTGTTTCGTTGACTATGCAAAGGCATTTGACTGTGTAGATCATAACAAACTGTGGCTGACTCTGAGAAGAATGGGAATCCCAGAACACTTGATCGTTCTAATGCGAAACTTATACTTGGACCAGGAGGCAGTCGTCAGAACAGAGCAGGGTAACACTGCATGGTTCAAAATTGGGAAGGGTGTATGCCAGGGATGCATCCTATCTCCATACCTTTTCAACCTATATGCAGAACAGATTATCTGGGAGGCTGGGCTCTATGAGGAGAAATGTGGGGTCAAGATTGGTGGATGATTTATCAACAATCTGCGTTATGCGGATGACACAACCCTGCTTGCTGAAACTGAAGAGGACCTGAAGCGCCTGCTGCAGAGTGTCAAGGACTGCAGCCTACAATATGGATTGAGGCTCAATGTTAAGAAGACAAAGATTCTCACCAGTGGACCAATTGGCAGCATCAGGATGGATGGTGAAGAGATTGAGATTGTACACAGCTTTAGTTTGCTTGGCTCCGCAGTCAACAGTCTTGGCACCAGCAGCCAGGAAATTAAAAGGCGCATTGCCTTGGGAAAGTCTGCTGTTAGGGACCTCTCCAAAGTACTGAAGAGCAATGGTGTCTTTCTGGAGACTAAGGTGCGTCTGATACAGGCCATGGTCTTCACAATCACTTGTTATGAATCAGAGAGTTGGACAATGACCACGGAGGATAGAAGGAGAAAGATATGCCTGATCTAGGCCATGGTCTTCACAATCACTTGTTATGAATCAGAGAGTTGGACAATGACCACGGAGGATAGAAGGAGAATTGATGCCTTTGAGCTGTGGTGCTGGAGAAGAGTATTGAGAATACCATGGACTGCTAGGAAAACAAACAGATTTGTCCTGGAAAGGGTTAAACCTGGTGGCTCCTTGGAGGCAAGGATTCTGAGGCTCCGTCTAACATACTTTGGACATGTTGTGAGGAGAGACCGGTCCTTGGAGAAGGACATCATGCTTGGGAGGGTGGGGGGACAGCGCAGGAGAGGAAGACCCTCTATGAGGTGGATTGATTCAGTGACTGGGATAATTGGGATGCGAGTGTCGGAAACAGTGCGATTGGCACAGGATAGAGCAGAGTTTAGGGCTGTTGTACATAGGGTCGCTATGAGTCGCAAGCGACTCAATGGCACATAACAACAACATGTATCTGAAAGCTGGACAAATGAAAAACGATGTCAGGAAAAGAATTGATACCTTTGAGCTGTGGTGTTGGAGAAGAGCATTGAACATCCCATGAACTGCCAAAAGAACAAACAGATATGTCTTGGAAAGCGTGCATCCAGAGTGCTCTTTGGAGGCAAAGATGATGAGGGTTTGCCTCACATACTTCAGGCATTTTGCTAGGAGGAGCTATTCCTTGGAGAGCGACATGAGGCTAGGAAGGGTGGAGGGTTTGGTAAAGGAGAAGACCCTTGACCAGACGGATTGACAATGGTGACCGCCGCAATGGGCTCTTGTGTGTCAGGAAGTGTGAAGATAGCACAGGATAGAGCAGGGTTCAGATCTTTTGTTCATAGGGTTGCTGTGAATTGTACTCAGCTCAACGGCACCTAACAACAACAATGTTCAGACCACACCACAGACCCATTACGTGAGAAACCTCTGGGGTGGGACCCAGACAGAAGGAATTTTTAAAACTCTCCAAATTGCAGCTGAGATTGAGAATAACTTGGGTTTGAAATTTATCTACATTCCTAATCAGCTATGTGTGATCTTTGACATCTATGAGCCTCTCTCTCCTTGACTGAAAAATGAGGAGAATGATACCTATCTGGAGGGCTGGTGTGATGATTAAAAGGATTGTGCATATAATGTGCTTGGCATGGAGTTAAGCACATGACTCTCAGTACATGCTAGATTTCTCCTGGCCTGTGGCTCAGGTATCCCAAAAGTTCGTGATGGCCTGCTGTTAGCACTTTTGGAGAGTTAAGTGAGCCTTTTTTCCTTCTTGAGCCTTCACTCTGGACTTCTGACACTCAGTTTTCTCTCCCCTTCTCCCAGGACAGGATGGAGGTCGAGCCTCTGGGTGGGCCACCACGGGGACCACGCGGGCCTGGAAGCGGAGAGCTCGTGAGACTCTTGGACTGGTGTTGGAGCCAGAGAGGACCCAGCTGAGCCAGGACCTTGGTGGGGGCACCCTGGCCATTGACACACTGCCAGACAATGGGACCAAGGTGGTGGTGAGTACTGAAGAAGCATGGAGGGGAAGGGAAACCAGGAGTGTTGGGTTCTCTTGTAGGGCAATGTGATTGTCAGACATGCAGCTCCCCTTAGGGAGTTAGGCTTGCACCTGGAAGTCAGAGTGGAGAGAGGGACTCCAGGATAAGGGGTGGAAGCAGGTCCAGTCTGGGTCATAAAATTATAGCATTTCAGATTTTCTTATGCTACCTACCTCCTCTTGACCTAGAGGAGTAGACTGACTTGCTCAAGGATGGTGTTCATGAGCATGGTCATGGCAGAGCTGAAACTGGAGCCAAGACTTTCTGAATCTGGTCTTTTCCACTTTCTAGGGCTTTATCTAAAAATGGAAGGTGACATTATTAGTCACTGTAAAAAGAGTGTAGGCAGCATGAGGGTGGCTGAGTCTGACCTCTAAGAATTCCACAAAGAGGGACTGTCCCCATCAACATCATAGTACAAAACTAATTCCTGTAAGATCAGAAATGGTCTGCTCTCCTGCACTTTCTTCTAATTACAACAGTAATCTTGCTACTCTGGTGGGTCCAAAATTAGTTACAATGACCACACAGACCTCACAGAACCACACTTATGATTATGGAGTTTAGGAAAGTTAACCGCCTATATTTTAGGTTGGCAGGAGGATACAATCCCTCCTCAGTCCGGACAATTTCTCAAATGTCACAGGCCCTTTGACTTTCATCCTCACAGCTTAGTTCAGTGTTACAAAGTCCATTGAGTCCTATCAGTTATAGCATCTACCTTCAGTCCTCCAGCAAGCTTGAGTGAAGGCCACTGGCCCTGGCTTTAGCTCCGATAGGCAGCAATGCCCAATCAGTTCTTTCTCATGTCAGTCTCTGGTTTTCTGCTGAGGCTGATGTTCCTCTGGTATAGATCTAGTCCGGCTGGTGCAAGAATCTTGGTCCTGAAGGGTATGTGCTGCTTCCTCTTCCTTGTTGAGGTTGAGATTCCCAATTCCTGCTGCTGAAACGGATCCATTTAAACTTAGTGGAATGGCAAGACGAGCCAATCTCCTTGTGGATAGACTAACACACCCTGTTTGTATGATTTTCCCTATCCATGTGGCAAAGTCAAAGTCAATGTTTAGGAACACCATTTTTTTTAAACTCTTGTTTTATTAAAATATGTGTAGTTGACTGGGAAAGGAAAAAAATTGTACTGGATTGTGGTAATGTACAAAAAGCATGTATCTAGGAAAGCCATTTTGGTCAATAACCCTTGACATTACTAGTCACATTCCTAGCTACCAGCTCTGGCCCCTCTCCAATCCCATTTCTTCCCTATCTATAGACTACATGGTTCCAGAGGGTCTACAGTTGCAGAAACATGGGCTGCACTCTGAGGCAGAAACAAAAACTAATAAGAGTGATTCTGGAGGAACCCCTTCTTCCTTTGGGCTGTTTGGAGTGGAGGTTCAGGGAAAAGAAGGTCAAGGAGACAGAACTTGGAAAGAGTACCATCTTAGTGCCTGGTCTTGCTCTCTGGAAGACTGATAGAAGCCTCTGCATGTCTGTGTGTGACACTATCATTGTGTGTTTCTAGCGTGTGTGTGTGTGTGTGTGTGTGAATAGGGCTGTATTTGCTCGTGTATCTAAGGGTATGCACTCAACTCCTAATCTAATATCTGAATATTCCTATGGACTGCTAAAAGAACAAGCAAGTCTGTCTTGGAGGGATTGTACCAAGGCTGATCCTTAAAAACAAGGATGATGAAACTTCATGTCACGTATGTTTTGTAAGGAGGCGGCAGTGCTGGGGAATAGATATCTTGCTGGGAAAGACGGAAGGTCAGAGAAAGAAGACTATGGGTCTCCTGAAGTAGATGGATTGACACATTGACCACCTCAATGGGCGCGAGCATGGCAGAGATGATGAGGATGACCGAGCATAGGGCAAGGTTCAGATGGTTGTTCATAGGGTCCCTATGAGTCATAGTCACTTTGATGGCTCCTAACAACAACACTCATCCCAGCTATGCCACGCGATCTGCTTCTTTAAAGGTTATAGGCCAGAAAAGTCAATGAAACGTCAAGTGTTAGGAAGGCTGAGTGATGCAAAGGATCATGGCAAGTAGCGAAGGAGGAGAGAGAGCATGAAGAACAGGAGAAGACCTTAGTAGACGTGAGAACCTCAGATGCCACTGGAACTTGACATAGCACTGCTTTTAAAAAAGTGGTTTACTTGAAAGTTTGTTAAGTTGTTTGCCATGGATGTTTTTACATTAATATTTTTAGAAATATTACATTCAAATGTTACTGATTTTGATCCCTGAGTGTTTTGGGACCCACGTGCGTGTTGCTTCTGTTGCAGCGAATTTTGGACCCAGCCTCTCACTAGTCTTGACCCCAAGATGAAACCTCAGAGTATAGAGCCCCACTCACTTCCCATCTTCCCATTCTGCTTGGTCATCACCAGCTTGCAAGACCAAAGAGCAGGACAGCCATGATGGGAGGACGGAGTGGAAGGCCAGGGCGAGAGAGGGATGGTGAGCTCAGGGCACTTGGAGGCTTCCCCTACCCCATAGACTCTTGGTTAAATAACTGAGACCCTGCTCTGGTCTATACAGCTTGGTCTGAAGGGGATATAGCCCCAGTTGTGCAGAGGGTATCTTACAGAAGAGAGCCACAGAGACTTGAAATTCTGGAAACAATTGCCTGTGGGTGTTCAGAAGGAAAAAAGTGGAGATCATTTAGAAGCCAGTATGGATTCAATAACACCAGTCAGTGCTTGAAAAACAACAGCACAGATTCTCCAGCTCCACCCTGGACCAACTGGCTCAGAAACATTAGTGGTGGATCTTGGACATTTGTTTGTTTAAAAGTTCTCCTTGTGATTCTGGTCATCTTGGATTGAGACCTGGATTATAGCATTGGACGGTGATTCCTCTGAACGTGAAGACTTCTTGGGTACTGTATACCTCCCTACTAACTTCCTCTTTGACAAGGTGGAGAAATACTGTTGAGGGGTTTCTCAGCAGCCATACACCGCTGGAAGGAAGCAGTCATCCTGAGCTCTGCCCTTCCCATAATTTTTTTTTTTTATGACATGGAGGAAACCCCAGAAGATAGACAAAATTGAGTTTTCGGGGGTAACTCAGCTCTAAGAGAGTTAGATGCCACATGAGGAGCCCAGAAGACCTCATTCACAGGTTACAATGATGGCCTGCTTCGAGTCAGATTGAACTGTTATATAGATATTCTGGCAATTGGGTTTTTGAGCCCGGAGAGATTGGGTTTAGTTCATGAGGAAACACTTGGGGATCTTCATGGCCTGTGGGCTGCACATGAGTCAGGAGTGGGGAGTGGTTGCCAAGAACGGAGGTGGGAAAGCCTGCTGTGCTCATGGCAACCAATGGAAAGCAGAGGCCACGCTTGGGCCTGTGGGAATCCTGTGGCTTGTTTCCTGGCCTGACCGCAGCTGGCAATTTTTTCCTCTTTCAGATGACTGTCTAGAAATCAGTGGAGTCCAGGGAGGACCAACGGGGTGATGAATAGACTTGGGCCCTCAACCCAGGGGGAATACTCAATGGTGTTTGAAGACTCTAGAAATGACTAGGCTCCATTTTTCTCCATAGCACTTATCACTTCCTGTGATTTGTAAGAATTGTCTTTATTTGTATTTCCTGTCATCCCTGTGGGTGGTTTTGTTTATCATTGTTCCCCTAGTGCCTGGCGTGTGGTGGATACTCCTTGTTTGAATGAATAAAAGAAGCAGGGATTGCCCTCAACCCTGAGGTTTCCGAGGACAGTGCTGTTGATGAGAAGAAGTTATGCACTATGTAGGGGTTGGACTCGGTGGCATCCAAGGACCCCTTTCTCTCTGGCTCCCAAGTTCTCACACATGTGAGAGCATGTTGGGGCTTCTACACAATAGAGTGTGTGTTGTGCTCACACCACAGCCTGGGTGGTCCGGCTGAGTCCACAGAGGGGCCTGTGTTCCAGTCTCATCCACCTTAGACCCATTAGCCCTTGAGAGAATCCTGGTGATCAGGCTCCTTCCAGCACAGCCAGCCCTCCTCACTGCACCCCCGCTCAGCTGCCTGAAACCAGACCGATTGCATCAAGTGGATTCCAACTCACGCAGTGCCATGTGCGTCAGAGTTAGAGCTGTGCCCCGCAACGTTCTCTTTTCTTTGTTGTTGTTGTCTGTCCCCTGTGAACAACAGATGTGAACCTTGCGCTACCCTGCTCTATCCACATGATCTTTGCCGTGCTTGAGTTCACTGCTAAAAGTCACTGTGTCAGTCCATCTTGTGGAAGATCTTCCTTTTTTTCACAGACCTCATATTCCACGTTGTTGTTGTTGTTGATTGCCTTTGAGTCGAGCATGACTCATAGCGACCCTATGAACAAAAGGCCCGAAGCCCCTCTACAACTATTGACATTTATCAAGGTTCATAGAGTTTCCGGAGGCATGTTATTTAGGAAGTGGATGCCACTCCTGCTTCCAAACCTGTCATAGTATGTTACTGTTATGTGCTGTTGAGTCAGCTGCGATGTATAATGACCCTATGTACAGCAGCTCTGAACCCTTCCCTGTCCTGAGCCAGTCTCACTAATTCCAACACACCAACCCACACTGCCACAGTCACTGTATCAATCCATCTCATCTGGGGTCTCCCTCTCTTGCACTGCCCATCACCCTCTGAACATGATGTCCTTTTCCAAGGACCAATCTCTCCTGGCCACATGCCCAAAATAAGTGAGGTGGAGCTTCAAAATTCTAGCCTCCAAGGAGAGACTTGGTTTCACCCTCTCCAAGGCAGACCGATTTGTTTTCTTGGCAGTCCATGGTATGTTCAAGAACAACTTGAAGGTATTTATTCTTCTGTCATCCTTAGCCATTGTCCATCTAGCTAAAGCATAACAAGTAATTGAGAAGACCGATTGGGAGCACCCTCAGTCACTAGACTGACATTTTGGTCTCCAGCACTCTGGAGAGGTCAGTGACAGCATATTTTCCCAATGCAGTTAGTCTTTTA